CTCTTGATTAATCACACTTCTTAACATATAATTATCTTATCTTATATACCTCTCAAGTTTAAATTGACTTTTTGTCCATTTTAAGCAACTGGTAAAGAATTGATGTGTATGTTGTTATTTGTTTGTCAGACATTTTGCTTATGCTTTGTTAGTTCAAGCAAGCCTTGGAAAATGCTTCCTGATGGGAAGATAACATCAAAACAATATGAGAGAAATTAATTTTGAAATATTTAAGTTGGCGAATGAGTTGTAAAATTGGGTCAGTACAGTGTCAAATATCGGGGATGAAAAATGAATATTTTTTAGTATTCACCTTACATTACATTTAATATCTTGTCCATAAAATTAATACTACTTAAGTGTCCAAACAGACTCTGTAAAATGTAGTAAGAAAATCGGTTATTTCGTTCTGGTGATTAGCATCTTGTACAGGTAATTTTGTTACTTAGTTGAAATTGTTATTTTTTTTATTTGGTTTACTTAGCTCGGTCACTTCTTTTAATTACACATAATAAAAATAATTAGATTGTGAAACCAGATTATTAACATTCTAGCTGCTTATTATGTTTCAGTTGTTGGTACATGGCACTAAGGAATGCCCTTTCTATCAGATTTAGTTTTGTCACCTTCATTACTTGGACCATTTAATTTTGTTAACTCAGTTTTGTGAGAATATTTAGTTCCATCAGTTCATTAATTTCATTAATGCTTTGCGCGACCACTTTAGTTGGTTAGTTCTTGATAATATGATTGATTTGTACTTATAAATAAGGAAACTGTGTAGGTCTTTCGATGGGCTCCCTGGCTGCCCAAGCTTTCGTCTTCTACCTTGGCGGATTCGAGACATCATCAACAACAATGACCTTTTGCTTGTACGAGTTATCAGTGAACCCAGATTTACAGGAGCACCTACGAGCTGAGATTGATGATGTTCTGGAGAAACATGATGGCAACATCATTTACGACGCCATCCAAGAGATGAATTATTTGGACAAGGTTATATCAGGTGAAATAAGTACCAGACAAATCTCATAACACTATTATGTCTGCATGACATTACAGTTGGCAATTACAGTCATACAGCTAAGTGATGACTATGAATATATTTATGAAGATGTTATAATATTCAATTATAAATGTGCAAACAAATATGTATATACAAATTTCATTCAAGCTCTGCTGAAAGAGTACAGATAAGATAAAACTTTTTCACAGATATTAGCAACAGGCTTGAACGTAAGTAAAGAAGTAATTCCAAAGTACTGAATACCAGAGTTTTGTTAATAACAGCATAGTGGAATGTCAATAGAGATTATTTAAATCTGCATGATTATATAACATAGTAAGATTCCACTCTATTTATCTTGTGTATCTTCCATTTGGAGAGGGACCCAGAATTTGTATCGGTGAGTCCCTACTTTTAACATCCATAAGAAAAAATTACCATAATATGTTTCAGGTCTTCTTGTCTTTTTCTTGTGCCAACGGACTGTTTTTCCCATAATGTTAAGCGCTCCAGTCTTTTAGCAGTTTCCCATGTGTCTTCCCCCTTTTAAAAATCTGTGCGTGAAATACAATTATTTCCTCAAATTTGTGTGTGTGCTCTTTTGAATAGCTATACTCTACATAGTTGAAGATTGACAAAAAAACACTTTCATAAATTCATTTCAGTAACAGGTCTCAAATTGAAGATCCTTATAATCTTTTGAGTCCATGCAAATGTAGAAATAAACACAGAATGTTCATAAAAAAATTTCTTGTTAACATCAAAATGTGGCGAGTACATTTGTCTGTTTCAGGAATGCGTTTCGGACTGATGCAAACGAAGGTGGGACTTGTCTCTCTTCTGTCCAAATACCAGTTCAAAGTGAGCCAGAAGACAACAGTTCCATTGGTGATAGATCCGAAGTCATTCATACTGGCTGCTGCTGGTGGGATGTGGCTGAGTATTGAAAACAGAAGTGTTAACTAAGATGAACACCCTTTTGTAGAACACTGTACTCCTGCAAACTCTGTCAGTATTTAAATTTCCAAAGATATGATTTGCTGTTGGATTCATATATGGCAGCGTGTCGACAGCTTTTGCACCACAGAGACAGGTGGAGACTTTCCGCCGGAACTCAGTTATCCAGACTCTGACACAAGACGTTCAACAGCGCATTCCTGTGATTTGGCATCTCGTTGTGGCCCATCATTTGAGATAATTCAACATCAGCATAACCAATTTTTATTCTTCTTTTATGGCTCTCCGGTCCATGGCCTCCTCAATTCTCCTCTTTCATTTGGTCCTCTGTTAGGTCCATCTGTCCAAGGCTTTGATTGAGGTTTCGAAACATCTTCCTTTTTTTGGTGCAAGGTTGTTAGCCTTGCGACCAACCCCCAACCTGGAGGACCAGGGTACCTGTCTTAGTCTGACCTCTCCCCCTCGACCAATCTGGCTAGGGAGGCCCTACCAGTAGCTACGCAACCGCCTGCATAGCTCTTGGGGTCACTGAGGTACTCAAACACCACCACCACAACAAAATTCAGTAATATCATCTTTGATATGTCATTTCTGAAAACATAGTATGAGATCACTACAAAGAAACAACTGCCAGAAACATTTCCTTGTAAAAAAAAATATTTAGGTGAGAGAATCGTAGGTAAAGGTACTGGTGGGACTACGTGTACCAGGGACAGACTGATTAAATTCTCATCTTGTGATAAAGTTTAATTTGTACCAAAAACTACAGAAGACAGTATACTCTAACGCTGCCATATGAATTACGCACACAATAATGGATGTTGTTGTTTGCATTTACAAATAATATTTCTAAGATGATATCACATAACAAATATTATAGCATGACTGGGATAAGTCAAAACATGTTATCAAAGAACAAATATTTGATTACTGCATTCATTTCTGATGTGATTATCAGTGCTATCTTCTTAAATAAATATGTATTATATAATGCAGAATAAGTGTGGCCTACCTCAGCAGGTGTCTTGTTTTTGGCACCAAATGTGGTTAATATGTGGTGTAATTATATTAATGTATGTATATCAGACTTTGTGTGTAATGGTTGCTAGTTCTGTACAAAATAGTTTGCTTGTAAGTACATGTGTAACACCCTCCTGATGTAATTTTGGATTTCTGGTCTATAAAAGATTTGGAGGAAAGTGTGGAAGAATAATGAAGTGATCAATGTTTATTTTCTGGTACAAACGCAAAATTTACCTGAAGAGTCGACGTCTGGCTTAATAATCCTAAGTAGGTCCTCGATTATGTGTTTGAAATGAGAAACAGTTGTTACCTACACTTTTGTTTCTTATTTCAAATCATACTCCAAATTTCATAAATACTTTATTATTATTATTTTGTTAGATCTACTCTGAATTAGCAGAAGAAATGTTAATTAAACTAGATATATAGAAAGAAACATTTAAGCAAAATGGGGCTGTTAGTTTTGCAGGTTATTCATGCAGAATTAGACAGAAGCTGTCTCTCCATAATGCTTTCATTTTGCTTTGTTCATGGAATGCACAAAACAGCTGTGAAATAGCCGTGGTACAGATCAGTTCAAATGAATGTATAGAATATTTTTGTGCATCAGTATTTGTCTTTGGCCTTGAGCTGTGGAGTCTAGAGTGACGACTTATATTACATATTTTCAAGGTCACCCCCTCCCTATCTCTATCTGTCTCTCTTACACACACGCGCACTCTGTGTCCGCCATTTTCAAACATTATCATAAGCAAAGGAAATACTGAGTTAGGTGATGAGTGTGTGTAGCTCCATGTAAAAGTGTTTGTGCTGTCGTATTCAAGACAGCAGACTCCATAAAGCAAGGTAAAAAGTAACATAAATTAAACTATGGTGTATTTACCGGTATGTAGTTTCTTTTTATCGTGTATAACTGGTGAAATAAAATGATGGCTGTAACTATTGGTAAGCATTGTAACAGCTCCGAAGACACAGATATATTCAAAGTTTATATTTACTGTGTTTGTAGTTACGATTACGTACTGTGGTAGAAGAGCCATGTTGACGTAATCAACATCACAGATATTGCAATGCATTCTGTCGTAAAACATGCTGTTAAAAAAATTACAGAAGAGATAGTTAATTGCCTTAACCTTAAATATTAACCGGTCTCGAACGCCCCCTCAAGGTATCACATTGTGAATTACAGGTAGGAGCAACTGACCAATGGAAAACCACATCTTTAAAATAATAATTTGAACATATTATTGCTTTTAATTTCAGTAGTAGTAGCAGTGGTAGTACTCTTTTTGACCATGTATTTTTGTGTACATAGCATATTCTAGAGTATGTGTTAATGTTGGTGTGCTTTCCAAAATTTTAAATAGTAATGCTTTTTTTGCATTTTGTAACTATATTGTAACCTATGCACCAACAATTTTGTGCTTAAGTCTGTTTGAGTGATTAGACAAAATTATGAACACCTTATTGATGAACGTTATTAAAACATTTTTTCTGTGGAGGAAAGGCATTGGGATCTTAAAATACTAAAAATAGTCACAAGACGGAATGTACTCGTATTATGAAATACAGACTGAAATACTTAATCTGTCGCCATTTTCACTGTTAAATTCTGACATTTAAAGACATTGATTAGATCCATATTTGATAATGTGATTGTTAAAGAAATTGTTCAAAACTCTATTTTACTTTCATGTAGGGTAAGGTTTTTTGTGATCTAGATAAGAGCAACATGAAAGAAGTCGAACAGAATTTACGGTTGACACTCATCTGCAATTTCATTATATACACTACTTCTGAAATATATTCATATAAAAGTCATACAGTCAGATATTATGCTCCCATTATACGATCATTTAATTTCTTCATACTTCATATATTTTGATATTATTCTTATTAATGGTAGCTTATAATAATTATTTTAATACAAATTGTTCCATTGTTTTTCTTAATACAGGTCCACTTTAAGTACTTCAGCGTCTGACTAACAAGAATGGGATTAATTTTTGGGTCACTTCTTCTTGAACTTGGGACACTGATAGCTAGCATTCTGTCAGTGATATACATCTATTTTAAGTGGTCATTCACTTATTGGAAGAAACGAAATGTACCGTACGCTGATCCAATTTTTCCATTTGGAAATTTCACTCAATCCTGCTTGATGCGGAAACAAGTTGGAGATGTTCTTACAGACATTTACAAAGAACTTGAAGGACATAGGTATGGAGGAATGTATATTTTTACGAAACCATCTTTAATTTTACGAGACCCTGACTTAATTAAGGACATTCTAGTTAAGGATTTCTCCACTTTTCATGATCGTGGTTTCTACATGAATGAAGAAATCGAACCTTTAACAGGGCATTTATTTATGTTACCCGGAAAGAGGTGGAGGAACCTAAGGTTAAAGCTGACTCCAACTTTCACATCCGGGAAGATGAAAATGATGTTCCAAAGACTTTTGGACTGTGGAGAGGAACTTCAACATTGCCTGGAAGACACAGCAGAAAACAGAGATGTCATTGAAATTAAGGACATTCTAGCTAGATTCAGTACTGATGTAATTTCGTCTTGTGCTTTCGGGATCGAATGTAATTGCCTCAAGAATGAAAACGCTGAATTCCGACAATGGGGAAGAAAAATTGTTCAATCATCATTAAAACAGGTAGTTCTTGAACTTTTAGCTCAGGTGTTGCGCCTGTTGTGTTGGATACACTGAAATTGTCTCTGATCAATTCAAGCGTTTCTAAATATTTCCGCAAAATGGTGGAGGAAACAGTTGAATATCGAGAGAAGAACAATGTAAAGCGAAATGACTTCATGGACCTTTTGATACAGCTGAAGAATAAGGGCATTGTGGATCCTGACCAGGAAGCTGAGGATCAGAACGGTGAAATACTGAATGGGGTTCCTGAAACAGCAGAGGGTATGAACACACGGTTATAAAGTCTTCTTTACAATTTTATAGCATTGTAACTAAATTTGCTCTTGATTAATCACACTTCTTAACATATAATTATCTTATCTTATATACCTCTCAAGTTTAAATTGACTTTTTGTCCATTTTAAGCAACTGGTAAAGAATTGATGTGTATGTTGTTATTTGTTTGTCAGACATTTTGCTTATGCTTTGTTAGTTCAAGCAAGCCTTGGAAAATGCTTCCTGATGGGAAGATAACATCAAAACAATATGAGAGAAATTAATTTTGAAATATTTAAGTTGGCGAATGAGTTGTAAAATTGGGTCAGTACAGTGTCAAATATCGGGGATGAAAAATGAATATTTTTTAGTATTCACCTTACATTACATTTAATATCTTGTCCATAAAATTAATACTACTTAAGTGTCCAAACAGACTCTGTAAAATGTAGTAAGAAAATCGGTTATTTCGTTCTGGTGATTAGCATCTTGTACAGGTAATTTTGTTACTTAGTTGAAATTGTTATTTTTTTTATTTGGTTTACTTAGCTCGGTCACTTCTTTTAATTACACATAATAAAAATAATTAGATTGTGAAACCAGATTATTAACATTCTAGCTGCTTATTATGTTTTAATTGTTGGTACATGGCACTAAGGAATGCCCTTTCTATCAGATTTAGTTTTGTCACCTTCATTACTTGGCACATTTAATTTTGTTAACTCAGTTTCGTGAGAATATTTAGTTCCATCAGTTCATTAATTTCATTAATGCTTTGAGCGACCACTTTAGTTGGTTAGTTCGTTGATAATATGATTGATTTGTACTTATAAATAAGGAAACTGTGTAGGTCTTTCGATGGGCTCCCTGGCTGCCCAAGCTTTCGTCTTCTACCTTGGCGGATTCGAGACATCATCAACAACAATGACCTTTTGCTTGTACGAGTTATCAGTGAACCCAGATTTACAGGAGCACCTACGAGCTGAGATTGATGATGTTCTGGAGAAACATGATGGCAACATCATTTACGACGCCATCCAAGAGATGAATTATTTGGACAAGGTTATATCAGGTGAAATAAGTACCAGACAGATCTCATAAAACTATTATGTCTGCATGACATTACAGTTGGCAATTACAGTCATACAGCTAAGTGATGACTATGAATATATTTATGAAGATGTTATAATATTCAGTTATAAATGTGCAAACAGGTATGTGTTTATTTATGTTTGAATATTCAAAGTTTATTCAAGGTCTGCTGGAAGAAGTACAGATAAGATAAAACTTTGTAGCACTCTGTAAACTACCGATCTCTTTCTGTTGTTTACGCAAGAAAACGTTCTCATGATTGTTCTGATATTAGCAACAGGCTTGAACATAAGTAAAGAAATAATTCTGAAGTAGTGAATACGAGAGTATTGATAATAGCAACATAATGGAATGTCAATAGAGTTTATTTAAATCTGCTTGTTTACATAATGTAGGAAAATTCCACTGTGTTTAATTTTAAAGTGTAACATGAAAAACTAATATTAACTTCAAACAAAAACAAATTTATTTCAGAAACTCTCCGCAAGTACCCACCAGTTACAATGTTAGCCCGTGAGTGTTCAAAACCCTACACAATTCCTGGAACGGATACTGTTTTGGACAAAGGAATTCAAGTTATTTTACCCGTGTTGGCTCTTCACCATGACCCGAAATATTACCCTGAACCTGAGCGATTTGACCCCGAGCGGTT